ATAAAATCTATAAAATTTAATTGTATACAAAAGTTGGTTGGTCATATTTAACAAAAATGTGTAGAGATTATTGAGATATATGGATTTTATTAAGTATCTTAACCCCGCAGATCTTTATATAAAATCATTGCAGATCTTTCCCTCTTAAAAGGATTGCGAATTAATAATCTTGTATTCAAAGTCTGTTGTACGGAAAACGTGCTATGTCGATCATATATATATAGTAAAATCAGTAAACGTGAAATCTTGTCTGACTGATAGGATAAATAATTACAAACTTTTTTTTATTTCATAAAATAAACAATGCCACCAAAGAAAGATTCCAAAAAAAGAATCAGAGAAACTGATTGTGAAGAATTTGTTGGGTAAGTGTTTTAAGGTGGTGGTGGTGGTTATTGCCTGCCACTCGTTGTCACTCTAGTTATGCTTTATAAACTGAAGTGAAATAAAAATTGGGCCAATAATAATAAATTCTCACATAAATTCTTTTTTCTTTTTTTTTTAGTTGTTTTAAAATTAAAAATGAACAGACAAGCTAATAAAAGAAGAAATCAACAACAAAACGAAAAGAACTTGCAAGAGGGTAAGTGTTGTTTATCATAAGAATGATGGTGGTGGTTATTGCCACCACTCATCATTCTAGTTAACATTAAGTTAAGTTTTGATGGAAGGTTTGTTACAAAAAAACTTGTTTTAAATCATTTATGTTTAATCCTTAGAATCAAATCCAAAGAAAACAAAAAAAATAAAAACAATGAAATACTTACCACCAATAACAAATGCAAAGGCCACCACTTTGATTGGCTTTTTTCTGTATGTCAAATTTTCAATATTAATATTAGAATCTTTTGAGGCATATGCTAACATAATTTTTAGAAGCATGAATTAGATACCAAAAGTTCGTGGGGTTTGGAATTTTCCCTTTGCAAGCAAGCAGGCTCAGTTGTGGACAATAAAAAGAAAATATTCTCCAATACCCTTAAAGTAAAAAAGACACTTCGGGATATGCATATGACAGGGTTGGCAAATGTGCAGTCCATTGATGGTCTATTGGTGGTCCATTGGTAACACTTTAACCATATTTAGTATTTTATTAATGGCAATGGACCAGTCCAAAATCCATTAGTTCTCAATGGACCAGTCAATTTGCCAACCCTGGCATATGATGCTAATAAAAAATATTTCTTCAGTTGGTAACAACTCTGTTACCAAAGAAGTTCTTAATGGATTTCCGAGATTGGTGTTATTATTTTCTTCAAGTTATAATAATGGTCTATGTTGGTTCTGGATTTTATGCAACTACAAATATTGCTGAAATGGACATTCCCACTACTTATAAAGAACTTTATAAGGTGTTGAAAATAGCAAGAATAATGTTACAAGTCAAGGTTAATATTAAATTTTTTTTTAATTACACTTAATATTAAGTTTCTTACACTGATTTTCATTTATATACAGAAAATTTTAGAAAAAATGATATACAGTGTGTTACAAAAAAAATTGGAAATTTTTAAATGAACATTGTGAAACAACTACTGTATTAGTTTGTGTGAAAAATGGCTCATTTGATAGCTTAAAATCATAATTTTTATTGATAATATTTTAATAAGAAATCCTTTCACCAT